TTTCTTTGTTGCAATGACTGTGACTTATTTTAATAAACTTTGGCACAGATAGCTTGGTGTTACTCATGTGTCTGTTTGTTTAAGCTTCAATTTGGGGGCAGTAAACCACCCTAGCCAAGAAGAGGGAATTGGTGAGCATCATTTCAGAGTGGTCTCACTGCAGGGTGGTCACTAAGAGTGCTTCAGCCATCTGTATCTCAGTCCACTCCAAGACACTCGCCTATCACTGTATAATGGAAAATGTTGCAAATGATTCTGCTAACTGGTAAAATTAAAGGTATTTGAGATAGGTGGGTTGGGGAAGCCCTAACTCTGCTCTCTTGCATGCACAAAGTATGACTTCAGTAAAACCTTTTGCTTCTTTAGGGAATACAGGAGGCGTTTGATCCCTAAAAGTTCCTGTGTTCCATTCTCAGTCTAGAATATCACCTACTGTCTGATGCTGCCCAAGGACTAACAAAAGCCTGCCTCCAAAATGTTCCTAGGTCTACCTGGAGTATGGTTAGGACTCCCAGTAATACAGAGACCTCACACTTCACAGAACTCCCGCAGAGGGTGGTATATGTGGCTCTGTGCCTAATTTGCTAAATAAAATGTGTTAAGTAAATGCCTATCTGTGGCAATATTTGGTCTCAGGCTCACTTTCTTCAAATAGGGCAGGAAGTTGTGGGAAAGCAGCTGACTTGCCAATCTCAAAACCTTTGGGTGGGTACCATTAGCTACCAAATGAACCTAAATGTTGTGCATAACCAAATTGGCTTAGTCGGCTCATGACAATTTTTATGAATAGTCATTTCAGGGCAAAACAAGCAAGTTTATAAATTATTCTACTAGTTGCACTTCCATTGTCAAAGCTAATTGTTAAGTGATGGCTTAGGTCTTGTGGCATGTATCACCACAGTGCCATGATGCAGCTCCTTCCTGTCACTAGGGGGACTCATATTTAGTTGACACTTTCAGGTGGGCTTTGAAGCTGATGATCCTGGGCTCAAGTCCTGGCTCCACTGCTGTGTTACCTAGGCCAAGTACCCTAACCTCTCTGAGCCTCAAATTTCTCTTTTATAAAATGGTGGGTGTCTTTCATAGTGGTATATTCATATATATCACACTGCTTGATTCACACAATAACTTTGTGAACTAGGCAGGACAGTAATACAGTTTTATATTCTTGTCCCCAATTAATCGATGGGAATTTAAATGACTTTCCCAGGGCCACATATTAGTAAGAGGTAGGCCTAGGACATGAATGGACATCTTCTGACTCAAACCGTTGGTTTCTCTCTCAAGTGGGAGTGAGAAGTGTTACTGGAGGCACGATTGAAACATTTACATATTGATAATCTAAGGAAAATACTCCTTGGGGTAGTCAGGTTAGTTACCTGGGAGCAGCCACCTGGGGGCAGAAACTAATCTACTCCCACAAAGCTAGATTACTTGGCCACACACTGAGTTATGCTCAGTTTAAATTTAGTAATAAAACTGTAGTACTCAGAAATCTTAATGAAATGAGAGAGGCCTTTTCGGACTAGATCTGTTTAGCATGATCCCTGTTGTTTCTGAACTTGGCATTTTCTTTTTTTGTATGTGTGACTTATTTGCACTATAGCTGATATGGCTCCACAGCAGGGATGACTTAGTAAGACATGCTTTATCACTGCAACCGGAGGAAGCATGCCTTACTAATTTCCAGGTCTCCATGATGCAGCACCGAGTGACCCATTGCCTGGGGTCACTCTGTGCTGACATCTGACAAAACCAGAGGTCAGCTCTGATATCTGAGTTTGAATGCCAGTTCTGCCTCTCAGTCCCGGTGTTGTTGCGTCCTGCCCTAGCCTATGTTTCCTGCATGATTGCTGTGCAGATCAAGGAAAGGGGATTCTAGAGGTGACAGCATAGTGGCTGCCTCTGAGGTTGGCAAGCAACATCATTAATTGTAGAAATAGTTGTGCTCAGTGAACCACTGTGGACTGATCAACGCTTCCTCATGCTTAATGCATCCACATGGATTTATTCCTCCTTTTAATTTTCTTTTTGCAAGTGATTTCCCCGCTCCTAGTCCCACTTAAGGGGGGAAGAATCCAGGGAGAAGTGAGAGAAGGGATTTGTAAAGGCAGTTACCAATAACTTAAAGCATTTTGACTAAAGGATACTTCACACCATCAAATGGCTTTAACTAGACTCTAAACAAATGGTCTCATGCCAATGAGCTTCTAAAGTGTGGAAGTATTTTACTTCAGTGAGCCTAATCTCTCATTCAAAGGTCCCACATAGGCTTTTACATTTCTCTTAGTTTAGCTATCCTGATGTGGCTAAGCTGAGACCAGAGATCCGTAGCATTGAAATTGGCCAGCTTTAGCTACTGTCTCCTTCTCTGAGTAACAGTGATAGATCATTAGAGGCAAGAAATAGCAAGGTGGACGAGGTTTTGGTGATTACCTAGTTTTGCCTTGGCATAAGCTGAGACTGTTTATGCTACTGTTCTCTTAAGATGTTCCTTTAGGTCAAAAGGTCTGCAAATACATAAGGGCATGACATTCGGGGAAGAATGATGCAAAAACACATTATGGTAAGAAGGATTTCATCGTAGAACCAAAGGCCATGCTGCTTTTTATCCAAGATTTCCATGATGGACCCCAAGGTGGTACTAGGCCCAGTAATGTTCTCAGCATATGCCTGAGACAGCCCAAGATTCCTCCAACAGAAAACCGTGGCTCCTCCCTTCCCACAGCTTCCCACCCGCCCTGGACATGGGATGGCTTAGTGAGTGGTTGCAGCCACCAGCAGCTGAGGCTGCGAGTTTACCTGCCAATAAAACCAGTGTCTAAATCCCTCTGGTTTGTGGAAGACTTTTTCAACTGTATACATTCAGCCTGTAATGATACCTACTCTACACGTTTGAAAGTTGTAAATTGTTTTTTTCGTAAAATGAGTTCAAGCGACCCAGTAAAGACATTTGAGGGAGTTAACACAGATAAGCATTGAGTTGTGAGAAAAAAAATAGGAAAACAGTAGGTTTTGAAATAATATTTTGCAAACTTGGCTGCACATTAGAACTTCTGGCAGAGCTTTTAAAAATACAGATTGTGGTAGATTGTAAAAAATGGCTACAGTCTTTCACTTCTTGGTATGTGCTTTTTCAGCTTTTCCCATCAAGAAGTGAAATCTCTTTCCACTCCCACCCCTGTGAGGTTGGACTTACGGTGTCCTTCAATCAGTAAGATGCAGCAGAAGTGATCATACCAGTTCCATGCCTTGGTCTTAAGGGGCCTTGTGTGATTCACTTGATCTCCTGGAACCCTCCCCAGGCCAGTCTGCTGGATGATAAAGGACAGTAGAGCTCAGCTGATTAAACTAAGGCCATCCTAGATTGGCCAGTCCCCACCCAACTGGAGAGCTGACCACTGAGCCCAGTCTAATCAGAACTACTCATTGAGACCAACCCAAATTGACAACCAACAGAATTGTGAGTTATACAGTTGTTTTTTAAGCCACTATGCTTTACAGTGGTTTGTTCCCACTCACTCACTCTAGCAAAAGCTGACTGATACACCAATGTTTGAGGCCCATCCTTGTGGAATTGGATGAATTGGTCGGAGATGGACCTTAGACACAGCATATTTTAAAAGCTCTGGGTGATTCTCATATGCACCCGGTGTTGAAAACCACGTCTAGATGAAGACACTTAATGCTTCATGGGCTGGGTTATAGGTTGAGTTAGACCAAGGGTTTACCCAATGGGACTCCTTTGAAGCTTGTGGATATCTCAATTTTTCCCCTTAAGTTACTGGGGTATAGGTGGTATTTGATTACATGAGTTAAGTTCTTTAGTGGTGATTTGTGAGATTTTGGTACATCCATTACCCAAGCAGTATACACTGCACTATATTTGTAGCTTTTATAACTTGTCCCCCTCCCATCCTTGCCCCCAAGTCCCCAAAATCCATTCCTTGTATCATTCTTATGCCTTTGCGTCCTCATAGCTTAGCTCCCGCATATCAGTGAGAACATACAATATTTGGTTTTCCACTCTGAGTTACCTCACTTAGAATAATAGTCTCCAATCTCAGACATCTAAATTTAAAATGAATAAAAAGTCTGGGTGAGAATCCCAGCACTTTGGGAGGCCAAGTGGGGCAGGTCACTTGAGGTCAGGGGTTCAAGATCAGCCTGGCCAACATGGTGAAACTCCATCTCTACTAAAATAAAATAAAAATTAAGCTGAGCATACGCCTGTAATCCTAGCTACTTGGAGACTGAGACGGTGGGAGGACTGCTGGAACCCAGGAGGCAGAGGTTGCAGTGAGCCTTTCATTGTGACACTGCACTCCAGCCTGGGTGACAGAGCGAGACTCCATCTCAGAAAATAAAATAATAAAATAAAATGAATAAACAAACTCATTAACTTAGAGAAAATAATAAGCTAAGATATAATCTGTACAAAAATGTTAATATTTTTAAAAATCTAGGGCAAATGCAAAGATGTAAGGGACTTTTGATAAAAACCATGTTTAACCTTGACCTTGTACAGGTGGAGAAATGGAAGCCCAGAGGGTTTCAATGACTTGCTCAAAGCCATACAACTAATTTGTGGCAGGGTTTAGATTCAGTATGAGGCCTTATTATTTTTTTTTCCGTCTATTTTTCTTGATTCTTCCATAGGGTGACAATAAAATGATCCTTCTTTTGACTTATCATATGTGACCTCATATAGAATCTGTGCAAAGATAAGTCTGGGACAGGCTATCTCTAAAGTGTTAACAGGTTAAGGAAAAGGTAGTTTTTATGGAGCATCTCTCCTCTCCTGTGATTTATAACAAGGATGACAGGTTTGTTGATTATAAGATGTGTCTTGTCTACTGTCAGAGATAGAGCTTGTAGTCTCACTAAGAAGAGCAACTTTTTTTTTTTTTTTTTTTTTTATGAAACCACAATGGGATGTAGTAGGAGGAAGAGTGCTTAATTTCTTCCATGAAAAGAGAAAGAAGGTAACTGAGCCATAGTCAATGAATTAAAGCAGTTTATTTAACATTAATTGCAGAATTTACAGCACTACCATTTAATGATAGGAATAAAAATAGAAATAATCCAGTGTAAGCGATGTCACAGACAAAACATCGGGGTAGGAAATGAGCAAGATTGAAAATGCAATTAACATTCAAAGAAATCTTGCAAAAGGACTGGGAGCTTATCAGGGGGTGGGCATCCCCTTGATGATGAAGTGTGATCCTCATCCCCACCAGGATTTCAGGGCAGCCACTGAACATATACCCTGTTGACTGTCCCTGGAAAGTCTTTCAGCACAGTCTGACTTAACATGTTTGAGATAGGGCAAAATCTGGAATATGCTTTGGAAATATAGCTCAGGGTTAAAAGACAGTAATAGTGAGGATTTGTGTATGGGTTTTCTTTTTCAAAACAGAAGGGAGTGCAAATTTTAGGGGTGTGTTTTCCTGATTTTAAACATGAGAGGTGATGTCAAAGGGATCAACTGAAAAGAATAGTTTACAGTTTTCTCCTATGATTTTCTTGGAGATAACATCTGTGAAAGCAAGAAAATAAAACAAGAGGCGTATATGTGCCTCTCTGATCTCTTGTCCTTTTGGAATCTGGAAAGAGACCTATAAAGGGTAGTTGGGTTTCTACTAAAGGGTCGTTTCTAGAATAGCTACCTAGAAGGCAGGTGGCAGAGTATGGTCTTTGAGCATATGGTCAAAGGAGGCTCACACTTTATAGCCCCATTTTCCCATAATTTAATGAGTCCCATTTTAAATTTTAAAACTTTAAACAGACCTGGGACAAATTCTTCTCTCTTTACTCCTCCTTTATTCCCTCATTATAGTCACCTTTCAATACCATCAAGCAGTCAACAGTATAGAAGAGAGGATGCAAATCCTGCAGGCCAGCAGGTGAAACTTAAAGGTATTTTAAATAGCAAAAGTAAACACATCTGAGGCCAGGGCCTAAAGTGGGAAAAGAGCCAGGACTGACGGATTCTGAGAACAAAACTCGATGGAAGAAAAGACACTAAAACTTGTTTTCACTCACTTTGGTAGAAGGATAGTTTCTCTTGTAATAATTCACTGACCAAGGAAAGATCTACAGTACCTGTGTTAATAAAGTATTATCTTGGTGGGAATATTTGAATAGAAAGAATGAAAAAAAAAATGGACAGGCTCTTTCTCTCTGGTTCAGGATAACACTTTTAAGAAATGCAAAGGATGAAGACGAAAACTAATTGAAATGCTGGTCAATTCCTAATTATCTTTTTTCATGAAGCTCTTTGGCGTCCTAGACCTGGGGAGAAACGACTGAACTGCTCTTGAATTGAGGGAAGATTAGGTGATTGGAAATATGAATTAGAAGAGAAACCAACACCAAGAATTTGCCTGTATCATCTCAGTCCCTGCATCTAAACTTCAGTGATTATGTGTCAAGTTATCAATGTGAAGCTTGTGTTTTTATTTCAGAAATTTCAGTATGCCAGGTGTTTTTCAACCTTTCATGGTAAGAAGTCTCCTGGCACCACTGGACTTGTGCAACACAAAACAGTGCAGTAAAGAAAGGAAATAATATCCTACCTTCAGGGAAGTATCTGTAATGATATGACTACCCATCCAATCGCCAGAGAATCTTTGGATTTCTTTTCTTCCCAGATGGCAGGATCCTTATCATAATCCACAAAAACTTTCCTAGAGAGTAAGCTGACTCTTAAGCTAAAGGCCAAACTGGACCAAAGCAAAGGATATAGAAAAAAGCCACAAACTCTACAACTTTTTGAATAGGACTTTCAAGCAGAGATAAAGTAGGCATGGATGAGCCATGTTTTTGGCTGGGACAATAGCTGTGGTTCAGCCAGTCCCCTAAGACAGATCAACAGCACAGGCAATGTGCACTGCCCCTGCCCCCTGAGATGGGAGCAAGGCACAGGGAGACAGTGGGGTCTCCTTTTCCCTCTTGTGTTTTCCAGATCAAAGAATTGAGAATAATTAAAATATAACCTAGAAACAAAACAATAGAAAACCCCATTCCATACGTTGCTTTGTTTTCTAAATAATCATCTCCAAAAGGTACAGATGGGATAGCTAAACAAGATGCAAGTCTGGTGGGAAGGAGACTTCTGATCTGGAAGAGCCTCACTGGATGAGGGGACCTGGACCCTTTGCAGCCCCAAGATGAAGGAAGAAGCCTTCAGTAATGTCCCAGGTGAAGCCACCAGATGGGCTGCAACAGCCTTGACTGGGTAGAGTGCAAGGTGGGAAAGGTGAGTGCCTGGTGAGCCCAGAAGATTCAAGTTACTATTTTCTTTTTCTTGCCTTTCATGTGTGAATTGGAGTCTGCCTTTGTGCTGACACATGCTCAAGACCAGGGGATTGCAGGGAAGTGCTGGCGTCCAGAGAGAGTAAGGTTAGAGAGTTTTGGCCCAGTTCTCTTTAAAGCTGACGGACATTGAGGTCTCTTCCCAGTACCAAAACCTACCTTCCAGCCCATGATCTGCCTTTTCCCAGGCCAGGCCCATGTTTCCCCAAAAGGGCAGAGAGGAAAACCAGGCCAAGCTGAGGTAATTTTGTAGTTTTGTGTCTCCAAGGAAAAGGACATCCACTGGCACAAAGCATTGAGTAAAAACCCTTTAATAACAAAATAACAACATTCACTTCAGTTGTCTGGAAAACTCAGCTTACACTTGATTCAACATACCACTTTCCACAATGTTAAAAAAAAAAAAGGACATAAAATGGCACAACAAAATATACCTTGGATTTCATAAGACAAGTCTTATTGGCAAAGTGTAAAGAGCCAGACCCATGCATTGCCTGCGATTAAAAAAAAGCCGGGGGGGTGGCTGGGTACACTCATGTCTCAAACACCCCTCTGTTTTCTTTGGATCAAAAATGCATTTGAACTTGGTAGATTCTACAATATCTGCATTAAGAGGAATAGTTTGTGGGTTTGTGGGTTTTAGGAAAACTTTGCTGAAACAAATATCAGTTTTATTGTGGAAGAACACATAAAGCTTTCTGAAGATTAAACACTAGTACAATCATTAACTGTCTTACAGAAGCCGATTTAAAAAATTCGTGTATCTGTTCCCATCTTTGGCAGATTAATAAGGGAAAAAATAAAAAGACTATATGTCAAAGTTTACATTACCACAATCTACTTCATAAGGCCAAATAAAAATATGTTTCTTTGTATTATTCATGACGGCCTGTTCCTGATATATCCTCATTGACAGATAATATGAATGCTGTACTGTCAGTGATTTCCAATATTTTGCATAGGAGACTGCTGCTTTTCCACCAGGGGTTCCTAGCCTGCATGCTCCTATGCAAAATAAAGTGTGCTTGGCAGTTGATTTGGCTTTATGTCAAGCATTTTGGTTTGGGAAATATGAAACTTGGGACTGGGTCTCCGAACCCAATTATAAGAAAGAACAAGTTTGCCCAGACGCCCTGCAACTGAAAAATACATTTGACATATAGAGACCTCAGATAACTGGAGGATTTAAAGAAGATAGTTTTCCTAAAGTGGGTTTCAAAACTTCTTCTTATAGTCCCTGGTAGAAGGTAGATAGAACATTGTCAGGTAGGTAAAAATTAAGTTACAGTCACCTCCAAGTCTAGGGAGGGAGAGCCATGATAGTTGCACATGAGAAGTTTTGGGAAATGGCTGTGTGTTTTTGTCCAAATCACTGGAACAGTTGGTGGGAATGTCCAGGAGAGTGGACAAAAAAGCCAGAGAAGAATGCCATTTGAGTTTCTACTGGGAACTGACGTGATGACAAAATACTAGAAGAAACCACGCACAGTCAAAAATAGCCATTCCCAAGCAGAGATCAAACAGGGCCAGAGCTGGGTTATTTGCACCTCCATATACAGGGCCAGTTAGGTCTAAGTTCATGAGCATAAAGCCAAAATAACTCCTTTTCATGGAAATTAAATATGCAAAGGTGAGTTTTTCAATACTTGCTCTCAAACCCCTCTCTGATATGGTGATATATCTGGGTTATGAGGATCCCAATTTGTGGAATGCAAATCGGCTAACTCAAAAATTTGGAATAACCTTTCTCATTATAAAGTCTGAAGCCAATTCAATGCGATTCATTTTCAGATCCCAACAGATGTAAAGGGTATTTTCGAGGTGAGACATCTCCCAATAAAACCAATATTACCACCGTCTGGGGCTGAACTGTGTACATTTTCACAGTTTAATGTATACACAACTGTTCCACAACTGCTAACAAACAATAGGCGCCCATGCATAAATAAAGTCCACGGAACCAAAGGGGAAGATCTAGCTCAAAACGAAAAATGTTGCTATTAAGACCACAGTGCATCACACTGCTAAATTTTTAGCCTCATGCATAAAATTAGAGCACTGATTGGCAGTTGCTAATTATAATACTACACTGTTAACACAGAACAATTAATTGTTCAGACCAAGTAGCACAAATGTAGAAAATAATTATTCTTTTCAACAGAGCAAATGAACACAGATTGTTTCTTCAGCAAAATATGAAACTGTAAACTTTGGGCTCATTCTGCAACTTTCCCCAATCCAGCATAAACAAAATCCAAAGGGGTGAAAAAACATACATTTTTCTTTTTAAGCGCACCTTTTTCGTCTATTACAAAAGCACAACCTAAAACGTATAAAGCTTTTTTTTTTCTTTTTTCTTTTTTTAAATCACAGTTACCAAAAGAAACAGTGAATAATTTATTACATACGCTATAATAACATTACTCTAAACACTATTGTCTATGAGGTATATCTGAGAAAATTCGGTAAGGAATTGCGCGGTCTGCATTGCCAACGTGCCCGGGTTCATAGTAAAGCTTTGGAACCATGAAGAACTAGAAAAAAGGGAAGAACGAGGGAGGCAGAGGAGGAGACATAGAGAAAGAACCTTTGGTATTAGTACAAATCTTGTTCTTTGCAGGGTTGCATTGCAAAGCACCACAGTACAATAAGCCCACCAATTGACTGTATGGAGGCCCAGTTGAAGCTGAGGTATTCACAGGAAGAATTAAAAAAAGCACAGAGAGGTCCAGACTGGCTAAATCGTTGCTTTGGTTCAAGCAAGGCACTCGTCCCGTGGTTATGTCACACTTTGCAAGTGAAGCATGAGGCTGGGGGGGGGGGTTGCTGAGGAGGTGTCTGCCAAGTGGGGATGTTTTCTGTGTTCAGGCTGCCATGGCTCTTCCTAGATCCTCTCTCGTATGGATGTGGCAGTAGGAAGATTGGGGAAGGTGATGTTCGCTTATAGGGGAGCTCTGCTGCTCAGTGAATCAAGTCATTTTTGCTCTGTCTCCCAGGGATTCTGAGAGTTCTATTTCCAATAGGAATTTGGGAAGAAAACCAAAACAATGTGTTCTTTGGAAGGAAGGCCTTACAGGTCTGCCTTGTATAGGGAGAAGATGGGGCTTTGAGCTTGTTTAGACAAGAGGGAACTTTCACATCAGGTGGCAATTGAAAACTTCAGAAAGAGGATAACAGTGTTTCCTACAGTTTGTCAATCTATCATCTATATTCCCTTACTAGCTATGCTTTGTTGAGGCATGGAACTGATGAGTTGATTGGTCTTTTCCTCTCTTTGCTTCTTTGTCTAAATGGTCTCTTTAAAAGCTCAAAGATAACTACATTATGTGAAATGCAAAAGAGTAGCACTCAAAAAGAGCTATATGGACTAGAGGTGGATCTTTGCATGTGTCTAAAACCCATTTGGTCAAAAGCTGAGAGACAGATTCATTGGCTAACACACAAATCATGTTGATGAATGGATCTTAATAGTGATTTAATCATTTAATGGAATCTAAAGAAACTTGAAGAAGACCAATTAATTTCATGAGTAAGAAGGAAAGAGAGAAGCACTTTAAGTAGCCATTTCTTAAACTGGCATATCCATTCCTCTGTAATTTTGGGGTCATTTTTTATTTACCATGAATAACGCTTTGTTATCAAATGATGTAAGGCTTAAACTTCTCTCATAAATACAGAGTTGGCTTACAAATGAAACGTCAACACCTATAACGGGAAAGGAAAAGGCTGAAGAGATTAAATGTCACATGTGCCAATGGTGGTCAAATTCCCTTTCTTGATAAATACTGACTTTAAAATACCCATAATAATCAAATCCAACAAGCCAAGAATGAACTTTCTTCTCCGTCTGAATTAAAAACTTATTTATACAATGCTTTGCAATGGAAAATTTCAAAAGTGATCACACTATTGGGATCAACATGTATTTCCTAGGGCAAAAAGTCTTTGTATTGCAAGGCATGCCACCTTCACAAAGCCACTCATCATATGCGACTACGTTGAGATACTAACGGGACACTGAAAATGCTTGTGACTATTTTTACAGGCTGAAAATGTTAAGAGATAAACCCTAGTCCCTGTTCATTGCTAAAGGATTGCCACTGTTCTATTTGTCCATGTGGCACCCGTCTCATGCATAGGCAGCACTGCACAATAGGTGGAGTGCTGGGACAGGAACCAGGAGGCGTGTTTGGCTTTCACTCTCGAGAGTTATTTGATTTGGATAACTATTTCATTTCTCCAGGCCACCGGGGCTTGGACTAAATGATTCCTAAGGTCTCTTCCAGCTCAACTACTCAATGGTCAGAGCTTCTGAGGTAACTGGCAATCTTCACTGTGATAGCTCCCAGCAGGGACAGAGGCCATGGCTAGGACTGAAGGCCATTTCCAAACAGTTTCCTTTCCCAATTTGGAATCAGAATTTAAGGAATCCAATTACAGCAGCATCTGAACTCACATCCTGAACATGCGGAGGGGACAGCAAACAAATAAGACAAACACAGAAAATATCCCTTTCCAAATTAGCAGCCGCCGTCACATAGATAATTATTTCTTTGGGGTATCTGAGCTGTGGCTGTACATACCATATGTCAGAGAAAATCGTTCAAATTATAAAAGAGCACAAGCAAAATGCAGACCGCACAGAGAAAGAAATCTTTGGTATCTTTGGTGTGTCATCAACACGATTAAAATTACAAATGGAAAAAGTCAGTGAGGTAGCCTTCTTTGGTTCTCACTAGAAATAGAAAGTTTTTCCTTTTTTTTTCTTTTTTTCTGCTTTTTTTTTTTTTTCCTTTTTTTTTTTGTTGCTTTACATACACACAGAGTTCATTCTTGGAAGCAGCTAGTGTAAGGGTTTCTCTCTTTTTGCTTAACGATTTTTTTTTTAATTTATTTTTCCAGTTTCTGTATAGAAGCCCCGAAATCCAGGCTGATGAAGCAGGGTCTCGGCTTATGTTTTCTGAATGCACAGGTTCAGGTTGAATAGTCATTGCTTGTCCACAAAATTTGCTCTGTTGTTCTGACAGCAAACAAACTGCAGTGCTCTCTGTTGTTTTAAATAAAAAATATAAACTATATAGTGCACCTTTCACAGATGCTGAATAAGTTAAATAAATAAGTTACAATATGAAGGCTCTGAGGGCCACAATAATTAAGAGGTGAAGTTCACCTGGTACCAGGTGGGGCTGCGAACTTAAGTTAAATAATTTAATAATTGTTACTTAGATTATTTTAAAAGCTAATTTAACAGGGAAGAATATTCCAAATTCTCTTTTTGTAACCTGTATTTCTTCCCTGTCTGTAACAGAATTTCACTGCTTTATAAAGCAAACTAAACTTCAAGAGTATTCCAAGTAGAATTTTGCATCTCTGATGCACCATCGGTCTAGGTTTTGATAAATAAGCACAAGGACTAAAATCAAACTAAGAGAGGATGGTCAAATAATTACCCAAATCCTATACATTTATGTACTAGAAACTAATTTAAATAAGTTAATTACGTTAATTATACTCAGATTGTTGGGTCATAACCCAAAGAGTCAAGATAAAAAACATTCTGTGGGGCGAGGTGGGGTGGTGTCTTCATTTTTTGACTGACAACATGTATAACCTCTTTTGATAGTCTAAATAAAAATAGAGCAGGAAATTATAACCTCTGAAGCTTTCTCATGTTAAAAGACCACTTAGATGTGACAAGCATGAAAAATATCACCACTCCCAACTAGCTAATGCAGCCTCCCCAGGACCGCAGTACCACTGTCTCAACCCTGGAAACCAGAGCCCACTGTCTCCCCATTGGTTTGCGCTTGACTTTACTATTTTTTCTTCTTTTTCTTTGTTTTTTCTTTTTTTTTCCTTTTTCAGGTCTTTGGATTTAGCTTTAGTTATGAAAGATCCAGAATAAAGCTATTCAACCGAAGTCTTCAAGCATAGGTGTCATCCTAACACAGATGATTAAACAATATAAAAGATTTTTTGAAAGTTGAGTTTATCTTGGATGGGCCCAAATGAAATTAATTCCAAGTGTACAAGATGAAGATGCTGGGATACTTTTGTTTTCCTTGCCCTTTGGTTTTCAATGTCACAATAAATAATGAAAACAATGTACATTGTAAAAGTACCACATAAATGTTAAATGATGATTTAAAATCTATTTATTGTAACAGATTACAGTTTATATGTATGAAGCATGTCTGCACACACTTGTATGTACACAGTCTAGACACCTATAGGTAACGCTTATTGTTGTAAAGATGTCTATGAGAATACATGTTAAAATATGTATCTAAATTTGTATACATCCAAGCCGACAGACTGTATAAGCTTTAGGCAGACTTATCTGCCAAGGTTTATGCGATGATGCGAAATGCCTGCTGCTAAAAATGGAGCAGAGTGGAAGACTTCCCTAGGATGAACAAACTGGTAACAATGTGTTTTTTTCTTACACACATTTTCTCCACTAAAAAAAAAGTACTAGCTGGTTAATTCCAAACAACTAACTCCAAAACCTCTAAGGAAAGCTTGGGCTCTAGCAATAACTGCTTCTGGCTGTCAGTCATTTTGGTATCTGAGAATAACGAGCCTCATTTAAGGTCCTGTGTGATTCACACAACAGCCCGTTAGCCTCAGTGGTAAGTTCTGCATCTACCTATGTGAGGTCCTATATATTTTAATAATGACTTTTGTATTTTATAAGTATTCTGAGACTTTCTAAAACAGATAAACCCTCCCCTCTTTCCCTCCCTTACCTTGGAAACAAACAAATCATTGATAGAAAATAGGCATTGAGACATCCATATTTAAAGCCAACATCATTATCCTATAAGACTTATACAGCCAACTGGGGTGCCATTCTTTATTCAGTAAGGATTTTTGTGGCCTTATTTTAAAATTAGAATCTCCTGTTGTTTCAGAGGTGACTTGGTCTTAGCTAAAGATACAAAATTACTAATCTATCAAGTTTGGCAGACAAGTATCAGAAAGTTATAGGTACATCAGCTCTATCACTTCTTCTACCATTTCCACTTACTCTTCCTGGTTAGGCTAAGAAGTCCGAGTCACACAGCATCAGCAACAACAAAAACAAAAAGTCACTCTAACCTGTTACGAATCTAGAAGGTTATCGCCAAGGTAGTTGTGTCTGGACCTTGTGGTCAACCTCCACCACATGTATCATCTTTTTCTCCACTTTTTGATAGAGTCCATTATTCTTCAACAACATTGCAAACAGGCCTTTTCTTCTTAGATTTTAAAATATCCAACTAGTCAAACTCCTGAAAATCCGAGTTCACTACAAAGGCATACTGTCATGACACTTTGGTAATGATAATCAAACAGACATTCCTATAATCCTATAAACATTTTCAAAAGTGGGGAAGTTTCCCCCTCTACCCAGGTAACAGTGATTTTAAAATCTGTTCAACTTTAATTTACTGCCACTAGTAGGTGGATGCCCAGTATAGACAAGGGAAAATAACTGATTATCTAAAAGTATTTATTTTTGGCTTTGAAATACGTTGGTTGACTTAGAAAAGTAAGTGTGTGTGTGTGTATCAGATTGACATTCCAAATTTTTATTTTATTTTGGCTTGAATTCAAAATTATTTTGGACTTCCTAAAGCCTACAACTGCCAAGAGCCTGCAGGGGGAAAAGGCAGCTTAGAGGCAATTCTTTCCAGATTTCTCCAGAAGAATTGCCATGCTTTCTGGCTCAACTAGCCTGTACCTTTATACATGGTGCAAGCTAAACACTTCTTTTACATTTTGGAAAAGCTTTTAAATATTGGTGTTGAGTTTTTATTGTTGTTACTGTTTCCTTTTAAAAAAGAACTGTAATGTCTCTTTTTATTATTATTATTTCCTGGAATGAAATAACTACATCCCCAGTACCAAAATCACACTAAAACAAAAACAATGCAAGCCTATTTGTGTAAAGGAATGAAGGCAAGTATTTTTCCACTCAATTTCTGTGAGAGTTTGCATTTCTGTTGCCTCAAGAATGTGAAATTTGGTTAACTGTTCCTTCACACCATCCCTTTTGCTGATGGCTGAGGAATGCCTGGAATTTTCCTTGGATTGAGGTAATGGATCCTAAACTATAACCAAATCCAAATGAGTATTTTCTCTGAAATTATTAACTTAAAATAAAATTTAAAAATCCTTGAGTAAACTCACTGGGTTAAATTCTATTACCTTTCAATATAGCATATTTTTCTGTTAGATTTCTAACACATTGAAATTCTGCAGGGCTTAAAATTTTGACACATAACTGTATAGATACACACATATATTTATATATGTATGTAAATAATTTTTTAAAAGCAAGCTCTTCTCTCTGGCATGACATTATCTGGTATGAGACATTTATTAAAGCTCCTGGGGAAAAATTCTTGCCTTTTTTTTTTTTTTTTAAAATATTATGACATGTTCTTCTGATCACCAGAGGACTGGTTTGACCAGTGTTGAAATATCAGGTCACAAAGGCAGCCTCTATTGGTCTAGACATCTTCAGAGGATGCTGGAGATCCAAATGCTGAGATTACAGTGCCAAAGGATCCCTAACCAAATCAAGCAGGCTCTATTCCTCAATCCAGTCTGGAAAAGAGCAATCATTTCCATTGGCTACATGTTATAAGGACTCGTTTAGAAATACCCAAGTTGAAATCAACCCACCTGGGAACATTCCTCTGTTGAAATATGCTCTTTTCTTAGTCCTTTGACAAAGGAAACATGGAGGATGAGCAAGGGACAAAGGGACACAAGGGAAAAGCCAAGGAACAATCTCCCAGGCAGGATGAATTATAAAAATTGTGGAGAGTTGTGTTCTCTCACAGCACAGGGAGACCTACATAGCGAGAATCAGGAGGTGGCACAAAGATCAACAATGGGGCTCCCCAGGGGCAGGACTCTGGGAGTCTCCCCAAAACCTGCTTCATATTTTCTCTCCAGGATTGAGACACTCTCTCCCACCCCACCCAACACCACTGCCCACCCCAGTGCCAGCTGTGGTTGCACATAGGCTTGTCAAAATACAAATTGGTAATTACCACCCTGAGGAAATCTATCAACCCATTGCAACAGAAGCTGGACTTCCCCTATGAGAAGTCCCTTTGATGGATCTGCTCACCGAGGGGGTCTGGCACACCTAGATGGGACAGGGCAGCTCCTGGACAACAGATTTCTGGGCTGGTCTCATATTCTATAACTGGTGAAAATGGATCAGTGAGCCTTCCCAGCAGTTACAGAAGATGAGCACCCCACTGTCAGGGCCCAGTTCTGGGCCGAGTCTGGCGGATGTACCTCACTCACCACCTTGTCAAGACTGAGGCATAGAATAGAGATGACTCCGAATACAAATAAAACTCATTTACACCATGGATCCATTTATCAACAGGTTAAATGCTGAAATGCTTGATCTTGACTTTAAACCTTTCCCAGAAACTTCCATAGAGATCTGAATACTTCAAATCATCCACAGTGGCAAATTAACTCTGAAATGGCATGAGAAATGAGAAAAATTCTGAACCGAATACTTAACAAATGAAGCACTGGACAAAAACAAGACATGAATTTGGACAGCAATAATTTTGGGTTATCACCAATGTCAAGTTGATCTATATACGTATTTATATATTATATATATCTTTCTTTAGAAATGCAACTTTACAGCTGATTTTTAAAAAGCTAATAGAAAAGTAGAAACTGGCAATTATTTTTACATGTTTCCCCCCACCCCCAAATGAAGCCCTGTTAGGATGTAGCAATCATGTGAAAACGAGGCTGTAAATTCCTCTATAAACTCTTTGGTTCTGTGGCTCAGGAGAGGATGCATCACCAAGACCCCTATCCCTGACCCTTACTCCCTTTCCCTCCCCTGATGATGAGACTCTGAACATAGAAGGAACCAAGTCTAAGGGTTAAGCAAAGAACATTCAAGTGATAATGTTATCCCCTACCCTCTGCTGAGCAGAGAGACAAGAACTGTTCAATATCCCAACATCTTAAACTTGGAGTGCATGGAAACTTCTGAGAGATTCCATGTTGGGGTAAAAAGCTGTAAAACAAAATTAAAGGGAAACAATAAAATCAAATAAATGGCCCTTTCCTTTTGTTGCTCAGAGAAACATAATTGATTACCTTTATACAGATCAATGGCGCTATTAGTATTTTAGCCAGGCAAGAGGAGATAATGAACTGAAACAAAAGGTGTGAGAAATCCTCATCTTTGGTATTGTAGCTGTTGAGGTTTCTGTTGCTCTGTTCCGTGTTCTTTTGAAAAACTGCATAGGCACAAATTAAAGACAATCTTCAACTTTAAGATTACCGTGTGAGTTGTCAAATGAAGCAGCAGCCACTGAGGCTCTTCCTTATTTCTATCTTTGTCTCAACCCTTTCTTTAAAATCTGCTTCCAAAAAATGTCCCAAGAGGTCTGTTTGAACAGTATGTCTCGCTGTTTCTTTGTTTTTGTTTCTGTTTTTTTTTTTTTTTTTTTTTTTTTTTTTTTTTTTTTTTTTTTTTTTTTTTTTTTTTTTTTTTTTTTTTTTTTTTTTTGTTTGTTGCAGAAGTAGGTGCAGAAAAAGTTTCTTTGGTTTCGATTAAATAATTCATAAAAAAGTTCAGTCTCAAGTGTCTGTAAAGAATCATTGCAGCGTTTGGCTTGCTTTGAACACCCCCATGGTGCCCACCTGGGGCCATTCACTGGTAAGTATGCACATTGTGACCTTCGCAATCTCCCAGAGTTCTGTAGGCGCTCTTCCACTTGCTATGGGAAGGTGAGAGTTGGCATGGCAAAGCCACTCCACTGGGTGGCTTGGCTAATGTCTTTGGCGTAGCTGGTCCGCTCAGCCTGATGGTGCGCCAAATGCAAGAGCTGAATGCCATTCGGAGTTGCAGAGGTTTTCTGATTTCTAAAAGTAATCACAGTATTTTTAGGCTAGAAAATGACAAGTCATAAATGTCTTTGGTTTGCAGTATTCTGCTTCTTTGGTGTGCTGTGTTTTTTCCAGATTTATTCAGCTGTTTTGCAAGGATGATTCAACAACAGAAGAGATTTAGGACTAGATGACAGTCATGAGTAACATGTATGGAGGTTTGATTGATTTTTTTTTTCTTGCTAGAAAACACAGAAAACATCCCTACTAATGGTATAGATGAGGAAAAACCCCAAATCAGAAAGAGTGAGAATGGATTACATGGTGGTCATAATGTACAGTAGGAGGGACCAGATGACTGATCAACCATGAAGGACATATTAATGATCTAAAAAAATCTAGATCTTTTAAAATGCTGCCTTTGCTCCATGTACCATAACAGTTAAATTGGCCTCCTGAGTGTGCGTCTGCATTACGTACAACAGAATTTGTAGCAAACTGCAATGTGCTTGAAGCCATATTCTCATCAATTCCCTAATGACTTAACAATAGGTGTCTTGAAAACCTAGATGCGGTGAACCCAGAACTTTTCTTACTTCTGTTTATCTTTGTTGTGCTTGATACTTTGAGCTCAAGTGAACCGATTGTTTTTTTGACGGATCCAAGACCATATGAGATTTTCAGGAGGTAAAGAAAAAAAAAAAATTGTAAGCTGGATCAACTTGAAGCTTTCTAAATCATTCAATGAAAAGATGTCTGAGTTGGAAAAACAGGTCCTTGGATTGTTTTTCTAATGTCCATATTTAAAACTTGTGCTCAGTAACTACCACTCTGATGTTTTTTATGTTATGGCTGTGAACTTGGATGTACTGTGGTATAATGAGGCTAAGCACGTGGAAAGCAAATGAGGTCATTCTTGTTGCTAGATTCTTCTCTTATTGTTGCATCTTGGAAGCCTAAACTCAGAGTATTTACATAGGCCAAATTCCCATTGTTACTCATAGGAACTCTGACTGCAAGAAACTGACAGGACCCGAAGTGGGACGGATAACATTTTAAGTAATCCTGAGCTTGGGCGACACCATACTGGAATTAACTCGCTTCAGGAAGGCCCCATTTGGGTTTCTGGGATGCTTAGCATGCTCAGAGGACAGTGTCTGATTCTAAGAGATTAATTTTTTGGCTTGCACTTGGACTCCATAGCCATTAAAAACAAAAAAACACCTGGCCTATGATTACAGCTAGAATAGAAGCTTCTTTGCAAGAGAATTGTGCTTTCAAATCACCAGTGAAGGGCCCCAGCTAGGAATCCGGTGTCTTTTTCCTTTGTTTGCTTTTGGTATCTGTTGTCCTCGTTTGGAGGTGACTTGTGCCCAAGTGAGAGTCCTTCCATCATGCTTTGGTACACGTGCTGGAGGCGGATGAGGAGCCCCCGGTGCTCAGATCGTCTTGCCACTTCTCCAGGCTGCGGCGCCGGGCGTTCATGAAGAAGTTGCTGACGGTCGTGAGCTCCAGGCCCAGCTGCTGGGAAATGGTGATCTGCATCTCCTTTGATGGGCGTTTGTTCTCCTTGAAGATGGCGAAGAGTGTTCGGCGTTGGAGGTCAGTGAACACCAGGCGGGATTTCTTCTGGGAATTGTTCCTGTCTTTGTTTGGTTCTTGCTCTTTGCGTTTGCACGCTTGAAGGGAAAGAGAAGAAGGAGAGGAGTCAGTGGGCTCACCCGAGAAGGTGATCCATGGAAAACATTGACAAAGCTGTACAGAGAGATGTAAACCATTAAACTTTATTGTGCAAACTGCCCAGCTGTCAATAACCAGCCTTTCCCATCATCCCAGGGTGATGGAAGGTATCAGCGAGTGAGTAGGGGATGGGAGAAGGGAGAAAGCTGCAGGGCTGTTTCACATAGTCTGGTTTTGAACTAACTGCACTTGTCTTTCCCTTGCTCTAGCATATCCTTGAAACTCTTTATCTCTGAAATCAGGTGCTGTGAAGGCAGGGAGGACTCCAGACCCCAGGGTGGGGGAAGCCTGGTGAGGCAGTTCCTCTTTCATATTCATCCTCTCGAATTGTTTACAGCTGACTTGAAATTACCTTTTGGAGTCAAAACATAAAAGTACATAGTTTTTCAAAATCAAAGCTTCTACCCACGTGACTCTAAAAATTGTTAACAGAAGGAAATTAGAGGTGAATGATGGTATCATCCCAACCCAAATTCTTTTCATCCAGACTTTTGAAAAATTAGAACAAAACAAAACAGAAGATCAAGGGAGGGAAAGACTATAGAAAAATTGGTTCAGCCAATTCTCATTTGGCTAGTTTGAAATTGGAAGCCAGTACAAGACGACAGGGGATAAGGGTCGGGGAAGATGCCCAACATTACAATAGGACTTCAGGCTTGTAGATATGTCAGTCAGTATATGCAGAGTCTCTATTTAGCAGAAATGAGTATCCATGCCTGGGCTGACATATGCAGTCAAGGACATTATGAGTCATGACCTCTCCCTTAGTCTAAAAGTTCCTAGAAGGCAGCAACCAGGTCTCTGTAGTACTCCTGACTGCCTCTTTTTGGAGTGTTTGGGACAATGAGGACAAATGGCTTCTTGACTCTTTCAGGGAATCTGTACACTTCACAGACAGGTTCGATGTCTCAGAAAAGTGACCTGTAAAGGTTAAATAATACAGTATTACAAATTGCAATGTTAAGAGATGAGAATGTGTGTTAAAATCACTTGAAATGGCTGGGTGCGGTGGCTCATGCCTATAATCCAGGACTTTGGGAGGCAGAGGTGGGTGGATCACAAGGTTAGGAATTTGAGACCAGCCTGGCCAACATGGTGAAACCCCATCTCTACTAAAGACACAAAAAATTATCCAGGTGTGGTGGCATGCACCTGTAGTCCCAGCTACTCGGGAGGCTGAGGCAGGAGAATCGCTTGAACCCGGGAGGCGGAGGCTGCAGTGAGCCAAGATCGCACCATTGCACTCCAGGCTTGGCAACAGGGCAAGACTCTATCTCAAAAACAAAACAAAACAAAACAACAACAACAACAACAACAACAACAAAATCACTTAAAATAAATCCCAGATTCCCCTAAGGGTGTGGTGGGAGTGTGGCCTCAACAGAAAGAATTGGGGAAAGGCCAGGAAGGAGAAGAGGCCCAGATGGGGCAGTCACCCTCAGAATCAATCCCACTGGATATTCTGTTTGGAAGTTGAGAATACCTTTGCACTGGACTGGCATTCTCCCAAGCCTGGCACCCAGGGTACTGCTCAGATGATTTTCTATGCTTCTCAAAGCCCTGGCTTGCATATTTTGTTTCCTGGCCTTCAGTCACAGAATTTCCTACTTATTGAGTTCTGCAGGCAGCATCTTATGTGGAGAGTCTGCTATGGTGTCTGAATGTTTATGTCCCCCCCAAAATTCACATGTTGCAATCCTAACATCCAAGGTGATGGTATTAAGAGGTAGAACCTTTGGGAGGCAATTGGGCCAGGAAGTTAGAGCCCTCATGTATAGGGCTAGTGCCCCTATAAAATAATCCTGAGAGAGACCTCTTGACCCTTCCACCATGGAAGGCCACAGTGAGAGAGTCTTCTCTATGAACCAGGACACAGACTATATTGCCCGACACTGAATCTGCCAGCACCTTGATATTGGACTTCCCAGCCTCCAGAACTGTGAGAAATAAACTTCTGTTGCTTATAAGCACTAAACTGTGGTATTTTATTGTTGTGGTTATTACTGCAGCCTTACCACACAAAGACAGGATTTAACCTGAAGACAAGCACTTATGGGAAAGATATTTGGAAGCTGAATTTCCTACCTAACTGGCCACCCTCCCTGCTGGATGCTGTGTATGAAGTAATATGAAGGAATCACTTCTGAAATAATCAAAATGCACTGATAGTCTCAAAGGGCAGGAAGAGGAGAGCCCCTAAATGGGAAAACTGCTAGGCTGTATCAGCTTTGCTGAACTCTTTCTTCCAGATTTTTCCTTCTCTCATTTCTAAAAGTATTCATATTGTCCTCAAAAATTAAACACACACACAACACATCCACATAAAAACAATCTGTTTTTATCTCGAAACTCATTCTCTTGGGGCGTTTGGGCTTTCTTGGATGAGGAGTGCTTCCGCTGCAATGGGAGCTCAGACACAAAGGGCTAAGACTGGTCACTGCCATCCTTCTTCCAACAGCTTACTGGTAATGATTTCTTCCTTGCTCATTCCTGTGAGGACTGCATATTTTTGTTGGATTCTGATGATTCCTGTGTGGTGGTAACATACAGAAATAGCCTTTGTAGGGTAACCTTGTTTTGAGGTCTACTCTCTCTTGCTCAATTTGAAGTCCCCTACAGAAGTGCTGCTAAACTTTAAGGTGCATAGGTATCATCTGGAGGGCGCATCAAAGTGCAGACTCTCATGCAGTCAGCCTGGAGAGGTTCTGGGATTCTGCATTTCTCATGAGCACCCAGGTGATGCTGATGTTGCTGGTCCACATGCTTCGGTTTGAGAGGCATGGGTCTGCCTGATTTCTACAGTCTCAGAAGAGCATGTTATGCAATGGAAAGGTCTGGATTCAAACCTGGGCTTCCCCACCTCTAAGACCTGGGGCCTTGCAGATTACTTAACCTCTTGGTGCCTGTCTTCCTCACGCGAATAAGGAAATAAAAATGCTCAGTTCTAGAGAGGCTTGTGAGATAACAGGCACATCTTCACTTCACACTTTCCTTCCCATTGTATTACCCCGGTAACTCTGAGCTAGGCAAATCAGGTAAAATGATTTTCATTTTAAAAGGAAACACATGGAGACCTTGGAGTGTAAGTGATGACACTGACACCATATCCCAGGTTTGCTGCAGACCCAGGGAAAGAAAGAATGAACCCTTCTCCTGTAAGGAATGGTACCCACACCCGACTACACATCAGAGGGGACCTCTTTGCAGGGCAGCCTCTGGGTCTCCACCCCTAGATATTCTGATTTTCATCATGTGGGGCCAGGTTCTGGAATCTGTGCTTCTATAAACCTCTGCAGCCCCTTTTAAAATGTAGAAACCACTATGCTTGCCCCTACTGCCACCTCAGGTGCCTGGACCACCATTCCTGCCCCTATCCCTGGGACAACTGGTACCAAACCTTCATCTGGAGGATTCTGAATAAACAGTGATGCATGATAATCTCCTGATAACAAAATCCAGGCAAATATCTTCTGCAAACATTGGCTGAGGTCTTCTGTCAATTCATGCTCCTTTGGATCAACCACATAGCTCTCAATTTTCATACTGATATTGATTATTCCTCAGATAATGCTGTCTTTGTGCTTTTAATAGGGTGATGAGACAGTGTGGGCATATACGTCCACATTGGCTTTGAGATTATATTTTGTGTGAGATATATATATATTTAACATTATATATATATATGTATTTAACATACACACACACACACACACACACACACACACACACACACACACTTCAGAGAAAAATGTTAAAGACTTAATATGAAGCAAACTGCACAGAAAGAACAGGTCAATACATCCTGCCTATGCCCTCCTAACAGCTTTCAGAAGCCACCAGATGCCACAGCAGCAAATGCAAAGCTGCAGCTTGGAATCTAGAAGTGTACGGCAAGTCCAGAAGCCCCAGATAACCAGGCAGTATGTCCTTATGTTGCCCCAGATTTTTATAGCCAGCAATTGGCAGTCATTGATTCTGACAAAAGCAGTTGGTCAGGAGCTAAAGGAAAATAAAAACAGGAGGGAGAACACTTGCCTTGAAAGTCTAAGAAAAAGTAGACAGATCCAATGACATCTGGGAGCTGGTGTGAGCTTGTGACCTCAGCATCCTCAGACCCGGGCTGAGAAGCCAGGTGTGCCAGGAGGCACAAGCAGAGTGCAAATGACTTTGGTGCTGGTCAATTGCTACACTCTATAATCAACATGTGTCCATTTCTTAAAATTCAGGAAAGTGCCAAGTAGCTCCCTCCAACCCAAGGATGCATTAGAAACCCAACGAAACAGCTGGTGTTCCAGTGGCATTGATGGATTCAGTCTTGGCACAGCTACATGCTGGTTAAGGTCTCCTGGACTCCAGCTGCTCAAGGCCAATTCTGCCATGGAAGGTGTGAGGTTAGCCCAACCCCGTCTAGACCATTTGGATCTGTTTCTTCTCCTCTGGTCTTTTAGGAGGAAAGCAGGGAGGGCATGCCAGGAACTGATATGTCACTAGCTGATGGGGAGGTGGGTGTAGACCTCGAAAGCCCTCAGCCATTCTTGACCTCCCTCCCTCTCACAGGGAAGCAGGTCCTATGTAAGACCATGTGGAAGGCCAAGAGCTTGCTTCCATTTTAAAGATGAAGAAAAGTCATTTGTTTACCTACAATAAGGCTACCTACGCAGATTATAGTACTTTTCCCCACTTTTTGAAAGAACTATTGACTCAGATTGGTCACGCTGACTGTGTCCTGTGACCCAGGACCTGGTACTGGCAGGCATGCACACATCTGTGTATAATCCGTGATTAACAAGAAGGATGGCAGAGAGCTACTGCCTAAAAATACAGGTTCCTTGGTAGAAGAATTTTTCAAACGACTGGGTTTCCAGGGTAAAATGAGGGAAGCCCTGGCTTGGGGCACAACCCGACTCTGAGATCTTGAGATACCAACTTGCTTTTTCCC